CATTTATGCCAATCTTGTATAACAGCTTTCATTACTTGATTAAAAAGAATAACAGAGCAAATCACCTCTTATTATTGCTTTTTAGGTTCAAGGAGTTTCATCACCCCAAGGACTCATCTTGCAAAATGAAATTCCAGTATTTAGTTTCAGCTACCACAGGATCCCTCATCAACAATTCCAACCTATCCTCTTAATTTTATTTTATTATTTTTTTTCTTTTTTGAATTTAAAGGTCTGCTTAGATGGTTTGTTTTTCCCTTATGTTTTTGTATAATCTAATTTGTAATAACTTCTTTGAAGCTGAGATACTCTGTTGGCTTTAATTCAACTAAAGTTTGATGTCCTTAATATATGTTTCTATCACATTCTTCATTTTCTATTTTAATTGAATTCCCAATTTATTTATTAAAAGCTTCCAGATTTAGACTAGGAGAGAAACATAAACCCTAATTTATAGTCAAATGCTCACAAGATGTACTGTAGGACTAAAATCATCAGTTTTGATATGACTCTTTTTTTGTGTTTCCTCACAAAAATGGTGGAGGGTTGGAGATTTATATCGGCAATGAGGGTGATTTCTTTTCTCCCTTCCCCTGTTTCTTCATCTCCAGAAATCACAAAACTGGAAATCAATTTTGTTTTATGTGACTAATTATATAATCTCATAGCTTTTCAACTTTTCTTCAAGCGTTTGAGTTAAAAGTGCTGTTGATCCACATCAAAGGTAAGGTCTTGTTTTCTCTGTGCAATGGGTATGTTTAAGTTATGTGCTAGGTCTGTTTATTTCAATGGAAACAACAATCTAAGCAAATCTCTTCTGCATGTTTTTGTTCCAAGTGACTCATTAGTACATGATGATGATTTGTCTAGTTGCTCTTTTAATCTTTATGAGAATCTAAAGACTAGCGTGGATAATCTAATAGCAGCCATGTCATCAAGGTAACAAGAGCAAGATGCAGAGCCATAAGATGATTTTTTATTTTGTTAGAGCAATTCCATCATATGCTTGATAACATTTTTTTGTTGCTGGTACTGCTGTTTGAGTCATTTGAAGATGATGAATTATCAACTATTTCTTTTTAATAAATCCTTTTCAAGAATTTGAAATTAATGATCTAATAGTAGTTAATACAGTTGTTAACCTTCACTTCTTTACCTTTATTTATAACTGTAGCATCATTTGCCAAATTTGCAGTGTAATATTTAAATAAACAGAGGAGGTGGTTTCAATGGTCCTTGCCAAAGCCAAAAGGATAAACATGGATGATTAATTAAAATTAGAGAAATAGGACCATAGTTTTTCTTTTGGCTGTAACTGGTCTATAGTTAGTTGTTCAGGGCCACACTGTTCATATTAGATTGGTGTGTTTAGATGGCTTGTTCTTTCGTTTTATGTCGAGTACTAGTTTGTAATGAGTTGCTTTGAAATTGAAATGCAATTTGGATTCTGTAGGTTTTAAGTCAACCAATTTTGATGCAATCCATATAGGTTCCTTTCACATTCTTCATTTTCAATTTTAATTGAATTTCGAATTCCCTTAGCAAAAGTTTTCGAAGTTACATTAGAGAGAAACATAAGTCCCGGTGTGGAAACCTTAATTCAGAAATTTAATATTAATATAAAGATATTATCTTTAAATAATCGGAGGGTCAACAATTGGGCATGTATGGATTTATATTATATGTTTTTTAGACAATGGAGATGTGAGGTACAAACATAAAATAAATAGAATTAAAAAATGGAGTGGGTTTTACGCAGGGACGGAGCCGATGAAGGACAAGGGGAAAGGCAGCCGCCCCCCTAAGATTTTGAAACACATTTAGGGTTTGTTTGGTGGAGCTTGTTGGAGTTTTTGTTTTTTTTTGTATTGTTTATGAGTAATAAGTTTAAATTTTTATTAGAGAAAAAATTTAAAAGTTATTCTTAAAGATAAAAAAAAGTGAGTAAAATGTGAGTAAAAAAAGAGTTTGTAAAAACTTTGGATTTGAAGTTTTTGATCTTTCATTGTTTGAACTTTTTTTAAAGTTAAAGAAAATTTAAAAATGTAAGTTTTTAAGAGAAAAATTTAAATTTATAAAATATAAATAGTATCAAAAAAATAAAACTTCTAAAAGCTGTACTAAACATCCCTTTAATATGATACTCTAACTTTTAATTATTAAAAATTTTGCTTTAATAGTATGAATTTCAAGATCTATTTCAAATGTAGAGAAAATATTTAGAATCTAAATAAAAGGTATTAAAAAATTAAGGATATAATTCAAGTAAAATGAATTTATGTCAATTAATTAATTAATAATTAGGGTTCTTAAACATTTTTTCA